CTCTTCGTGCTTCCGCTTGCTCGCCCGACTTGCGCGTCCGTGGCCGACGAAGACGATGTTTTGGTGGATGCCCTCGCACCAGTGCGTGCTGAAGGTCTTCTCGTTGAGCTCCTTCTGAATGACCTTGCCGATTGGGGGCAGCGCTGCCAAGTGGAGCTTTTCTCTGACTCCGCTACTGCGGTCAGGGTCATCCTCCCACTTGGGCATGTACTTCGCTGGAACCCAGCGCCGAGAGATGATGGAGTCGCTTGTTCGATGCATCCAATCAGGGAGCCACTGGGGATCGTTCTTCGACGGCCTCCCTGCAAAATCAATGTTGTAGTCCGCAATGCGCACGTCGCACGGGCCAATGGGGAGGACGTAATTCGGATGCATGACGCGTGTGCCCTTCACAATGCCTCCGAACAGGGCGGGTCCAGCCCTGAACACCACCCCCACCGGGCAGGTGCAGCTGGCTCCGCAACTGCGGCCCAATGCTGCGAGCTGCTCAGGCGGGATGTCAAACAGGCCGCACAAGAACCGCACATCATTTTTATGGATGGCAGCAACCGCGTCCTTGAAGAAAGCTGGATGCCACGCTTGTTGTTCTGTTTGCGTGATCTTGTGTTGGAGACGTTCGGTGACTGCGTGTCTGGACACGACGGCAAAACGGATCACCGCGGCAGGATTCATCTCGGAGCCCTTCAGGCGAAAGCTCAGGATCGTGACGGCGTGGGTGGCCCCAACAACATGACCCGCAACTGCGGTCTCTGCGATGATGTGCGGGCGCACGAGCACCAGGCCCGTCTCTCTGAACAGGGGAACCGTCGTCCAGTAAGGCTCCTCGGAGGCGTTTTTCATAGTGACAGCGTTGTCGATGGCACTCCTGAGTCCAACGCGAACGTCGTAGCTGCAAGCGCCTTCGACGTTCCCCGTGCGGAACAGCTCGGGGTCCCATACGACGAAGACGACCGCCGCAGTTTGGTGCAAGATGCACCTGAAGACATCTTCGTTTGTTGCCACCTTCGTGATGACCACCACGTTGAACACCAAAGCGATGGTGGACGGAACCCGATTGCCGTCTGCTGTACGAAGGAATCCTTCGTTCCACTTGGGGCGTTCCCCAAAGTAGTTTATCCCTGGAGGGGACCTGGTCCGCTGCTTCTTCCGCGGTGCTCCCGCATCTTCCCGCAACTGCGGTTCCGACGGAGGCCCCGCGCGACCCCGCGACTGCGGTTCTGACAGCGGCGAGTCTTCCGTGGGAGGCGGCCTTTTCCTCGGCCGCGAATCGGCCGAGGCGGTTGTCTCGGCGGCTTTCTCCTGGGAGGCGGCCTCGTCTTCGGGTTGGGCGCCTCGTTTGGACTCGGCTGCGAGCAGCACGGCCGAGGGCGCGCTGCTCCCAGATGAGCCGCGCGCGGCACCTGGCTCGCCGGCCACCCCCGCAACTGCGGTCTCGGTGGCGGCTCCCGTCACTGCTGGTTGGTCCTGCTGCTTCGTCGGCGTCTGCGCCCGAGGCCCCCATTTTGCCTTGGGGGTCAAGTGCGCCCTGCGCAACTGCGCCTCTTCGCGCCTCCCACCAGCAGAGCTCCCACTCGCAGCGCTTATCGGCGGCGGCGGCCGATATTCGATGGCCGACCGCGAGGAGCTAGACGACTGCGGGGAGGCCTCGCGCGGCGGTCGCTCGGGGCTTCCGCTACTGCGGTCCCCCGTCGGCTCCGCGACTGCGGCATCCGCGGCAGCCCCTTGCGCGCCGAGCCTTTCCCGCAGTTGCTGCTTCAGCTCGGCGAACCGCTTGTCGACCTCGGCTTTGCGAGCTGGGTCCATGGCGTGGCCGCGCGCGGCCCCCGTCCGACGGGGGAACTGCGGCCGGCTTGGGAGAGGAACGGCAACGAGGGAGACGGCGGGGATGAGGACGAGGAAGGCGAAGAGGAGGATGGAGAGGACGCGACGGAAGAGGATGGCGCGAAGAGCTCAGACGAGGGCGAAAGGAGCAAGGGGACTGCGACGAGGATGACGGGCAAGAAACGGAGGAGGAGGAATCAACAAAGTCCGCAACTGCGGCCCTCGGGGGGGACTGCGACGAGGACGACGGGAAATGACTCGGCCAACGGAGGCGGGCTACGGCCAACGGAAGGAACTGCGACGAGGAGGAAAGGCGGAGGGAGGAGACTGCGACGAGGACGACGGGGAAGGGGCGACGAGGACGACGAACAACTGCGGATCCATCTGTTTAAGTACCTGTCTCCGCAACTGCGGCCGCGCTAATTAACGTCACGAGTGCTTCAACGGAGGTGATGCGCGCCCGAAGCACCTAATTACAGCGGTCAGTCGTGGGAGCGCCGCAACTGCGGCCAAGCTGTATGAAGTCGCTTGAAGGCAGCGCCGCAACTGCGGCCGAAAGCGCGCATAGTGAGTCAAACGAGCGCGGCGTCACGCGATCGGTTTCCGCAACTGCGGTTCCATGGCTGCGCAATCCCGCAACTGCGGTGTCAAGGCTGCGCGGACCACCGCGGTTGCAGATGCGCCCCCTTGCTCGCGTCGAACCGCCCAGGATTCGGATGGGCGTGCAGCATCTTCCAGAACGTGAACGTTCCGTGGCCATCGCTCTTGCCGAGACCTGCCCTCGGGCCCCGCACGGGATGCGAGTGCGGCTCCACCTCATACGTGTTGAACTTCGGGCTAGACCAGGATGGGTGGACGCGAATGCCCGAGCCGTCGTCGCGGATGAGGACGAAATCCCACTGGGGCAGAGGGATTCTTTGCGCCTGTCCTCTGTCCACCCCTTTCGTGTGCCTCATGTTGTCGAGACTGCTAGGGCACGGGCGGCACTCGCAGCGGACCAACCCGCGACTGCGGTCATTGTCAGGGCCGCACACGACGCGCAGCATTGTAGGTCCATCCATCTGCGCGACCATCTCCAGCCAAGACCACGGCACTTTGACAGTGTGGTCCCAGTCCCAATCCCTGTTGTCCTGCGCCTTCCCCTTTGCGCGGTACTTAAGGATCTTCGAAATTTCCTCCGCAACTGCGGTACCTCCGAAGACGGGCGTGCGGCTGCCGAAAGGGTTTTCTCGGTCTTCGTACTCGTCTCGGAACCACTTCAAGGCCGCGTTGTGCTGCTTATAATTGCCGTTCCAGTTCGCCCTGAAGTTCTCGAAGAATTCCAACTTGAAAATTGGCAGCGGCTCATTGCGCACAATTTGAAACAGCGCAACTGCGCCTTGTTCTTCGCGCCCTGGGGGAAGCAGGGGACCGCCTCCTTTGCCCGCCGCTGTTGCGGCCGCGGGCTCCGCGGCAGGAGAACCTGCCGAGGCACTCGAGCGGCCACCTTCCCATGCATTCCACCAGCCACCCTCGTCGTCCCACCAGCGGGCGCCCTCCATTCCCCAACCCTCGCATCCGTTGCCGCCCCATCCGCCGCCCTCCCATCCGCGACTGCGGTCACTTCCGTCGCCGCCATCCTGCGCTTTTCCTCTCCATCCGCCAAGAGAATCTCCGCCGCCCCAGCCGCCACTGCGGTCACCTCCGCCGCCGTATCCGCCACTGCGGCCGCCCCAACCCCCACTTGTTCCCCAACCGCCGCCGCTGCTCTTTGAAGAATCCGCAACTGCGGCCCGTGTTTCCTCTTCCGCTTTGTCATCCCACCCTGCACGCATCTCTGCCCCGACTGCAGGCCGCGGAGGCGGGCGCGAGCCCGCCCAACCGCCGTGAAACCTACCGTCGGCGCGGGCTTGAGCCGAACGTGCATGGAGGAGGAGGATGAGGAGGAGGAGGGTGAATGTGAGGAGGATGATGCGTTCCTGGGAGGTGTGCCTTCGCGTGCAACACAAGAGCCCTGAGAATTCCTGAGGCCCCTCCAACAGCCAAGGACGCGGATGACAAGAAAGTCGAGAAGATTGGGAACCGATTGAGGATTAAGAGGCGTGCGACGAAAGGGATGATGATGACGAAGAGGAAGATCAGTGAAGGGGAGGAGCGGACAGGAATTATGGAGGAGTGATAGCAGAGGAGGAAGAGGGGGAAGGGGGAGGAGGAGGAGGAGGAGGAGGAGGGAGAGGAAAAGGGGGAGGAGGAGGAGGAGGAAGAAGGTGAGGAGGAGGAGGAGGAGGAGGAGGAGGAGGAGGAGGAGGAGGAGGAGGAGGAGGAGGAGGAGGAGGAAGAGGAGGAGGACGACGACGACGAGGAGGAGGAGGAGGAGGAGAGGGAGAAGGAGAACGGGGACAGGAGGACAAGGACGGAGAAATATAACAAATGAGGGGGAGGAGGCGGAGGAGGAGGAGGACGAGGAGGAGAAGCAGGAAGAGGAGGAGGAGAGGGGGGAGGAAGAGTGCGCGTGAGACTGGGAGAACGAGGTAATTAATTAGAGAGGGAACGGGGGAGGAGGGAGGACAAGGAAGAGCATACAGCGACGAGAAGAGGAGAAGGAACAGACGAAGGCTCCTGCTGATCGCATTTCCGCATCGTTCAAAGCAGTGCCGGGGCACTGCTTTGAACGACTGGTGATGTTCAAAGCAGTTCCCCGGCACTGTGTTCCATCGTCGCCGTTATAAGGGCTATTGGATTATGGTGGCCAGGAAGAGGCCCAGGATGCAACAATTAGAAATGAAAGGATCTTGGCTCCCCCCCTCCAAAAAACAGAGAACTTGCGAAGAATTAAAAGTGAACCATGGGTTTGAAAGGTGGGGTAGGGACAGAGGTCGGGTTGGAGGAACATCGCTCCAAACGGCCCCTGGAACCTAGAAGAAGGACATGCAAGCATCCAGCTGGGTGCGTCCCCCAGCCCCACCTTGGGAGAACCCCCCCCCTACGAACCCCCGAGTCCTCCGAGAGGGGGCACGCTCGGGAGGGATCGGCTCAGAGGGGAGGGAGGCAGCATCGCGACCTGGAGTCGGCGACACGTCGCCGACGACGTCGGCGAGAGAGGCCCCCGCGAGGGAATCCCCACGCTCCTGGGCGGGGCGGAGCCCGATCGGCGAGCCAGGGGTGATCGGCGAGTGGGCCCCCCGACGTCGCCCCCGGTCCTCGTGCAGCACCCGGGCGCTGCACCCCGGCGGCACGGCCGCCCGCAGGGAGGCCAGGCCCGCGCAGTACCTCTGCGCCGCGGAGAGGAAGTACGGCCGCGCGCGCCTCCCCTCGCTGGGGGGCGCCCGCCCCGCACCCCCCCCACCGGCCCTGACCAGGCCCGCCTTGTTGAGCAGGGACCGACCGTCCAGGCATTCCTATAGGCCTACCACGATGTGCTCTGAGAACCCAGAACTGTCCTGAGAACGAAGGCACGGTCCTTAGAACAGAACCCCGATGTGCCAAAACAAAACAGTCCCGGCCAGAAATGTTCTGAGAACACCTCGTGGAAACCACACACGGTTCTTGGACCATGTATTGGCAGGCCTAGAGGCACGCCAGGACGCTTCGCAACTGCTTGACCCCGGGCCGCGCTTCGGCGCGTGCGCCCTCCTGGGCAGGGCAGGAGGCCGCGCGCGCGCCGGGCCTGGGCCCCAGCCTCGGCCTGGCCAGGCTCGGTGGCGAGCGTGCCGCGGGTGCCCTCCGGCCTCCGGGTCCTCCGTGGCCGGCGGCGGCGCGGCCGTGGCCACCGCCACGGCGAGCACGAACCTCGGGCCGGGCGAAAGGGGGGGATAGCAAAGAGGGGGGGGGGGGGGGGAGAATCGGCTCGCGCAGCCGATGTTCCCGGCGCCTCCCGGCGCTGGGAGGCGCCCAGGTACCATCGAGGAGCGGGCCACCTCGGCGGGGCCGAAACCAGCTGCAGGCAGCAGATTTCGTCCCCCCCCCCCCCTTTCCCCATCTCCCCTTTTCGTCCGGCCCGAGAGCCAGAGGGCGTCCCGCACGGGCCCCGGCCGCATCGCGCCGAGGCGCGCGCGGAGCACCCGCCAGTCCTCCGGGCCGCGCTGCAGCCCCGCCGCGGCCTCTCGCGCGGCGGCGGCCAGCTCCTCCGCGTCCACGCGGGCGAGGTCGCAGTGGTGCGAGGAGACGAACACGCCGAGAGGCGACACGTCGCAGCCCACGGCGTCCATGCCGCCCGCGAGGGCCTCCACCAGCACGGTGCCCGAGCCGCAGAAGGGGTCCAGCACGAGCCGAGACCCCGGCGGCGCCAGCTTCAGGAACTCCTTCGCGGTGGACGGCTGCATTCCGCCGACGTACTTGTATATGCCGTGCGTCAGCTGCGCCTCCCCGGGGGGCACCCGGGGGAACCCGTAGACCCACTGGAGCTCGAGCGCGCGCTCCAGGTGCTCGACCACAGCAGCGGGGCCCTCCGAGCAGAAACAGTACAGCGCCTTCCTCAGCGGCTTAGGCGTGTGCAGCGGCCCGTCGTTGTCCCACCAGGCGTCACCGGTGGGCCGCACTCCTCCGTTCTGCATGCGCTCCGCCCACGCCTCGGCGCGCTCCACCTCGCCCATGCGGGAGCACGCGTTACAGACAGTCGAGTAGCTGACCTCGTCAGGCTGCACGGACGCGCGGAGCATCCACTCGAGAAGCTCCTCTGCGCGGTCCACCTGGGCGGCGCGGGCGCAAGCCCCCAGGACGCCGTTGTACGCGATCCGGGAGGGCTGGATACCGTCCTCCTTCGCGCGACGCAGCCACTCCTCTTCGGGCGCGACAGCTCCGGGGAGACGTAAGACCCAGATTTGGGAGACTCGGGTTGGCCTGACGGGGCCAACATGAAAACGACGAGACCCAGTCTGAAATTCGACGCGAGCTCCCGCCGAAAACATTCCACGGAGACTGGACTGTCAAAGTCCAGGACGCGCTCGTCAAAAGGCGTCGGCAAGACCGAGTTCTGGCGTACCCGTGTCTTTCGCTTCCGCGACAGCTGCACACCAGAACCAGCCCTGACCAAGGCAGTCCTGAGCCCTAGGACGGCGAATACGGCCCAACCTATAGGACAGAAGACCACCCTTCGAGAACAAACATGAGACGCCCCGCCGGCCCGAACTGAAGAACACTCGAGAGCGCCCCCTCCCCAGGATGCACAAGAGAGCATCCGACAGGCACGGAGAACACTATTACGGGGACCCTCCCCGAGCCGACCTCGATCTCACGCCCCGGGGCCGACTGCACAGACTCGTGGGCCCCGACCAGGAGGGCCTGGCGCGGCCCAAGTGCGCCACCCCTGGGGCCCACAGGGGCGGCCCTGGCCCAGGCAGCGGGCGGTCTGGACCAGGAGGACGACGATGACCCCCGACGGTGCCCAGAGGCCCCGGGTTCACGGAAACTCCAACCACGTCCAAAACCAAGCAAAACCGTTGCCCCCGCCCTCCGCGCGGGTCCTCCGCGCGCGCGGGGTCCCCGCGCTCGGCGCAGGCACGGAGGACGGCGCCGTAGTCCCTCTCGCCCCATGGGAGGCCTGCCCGGGCCTGCGCGCGCAGCCACCGCTCGCCGGTGGCAGCGACGGGGGCGAAGCCGCCCCGGGCAAGGGGGCAGTGCGCGTCCATCCAGGGAGGGGGAGGGGGAGGGGGAGGGGGAGGGGGAGGGGAGGGGAGGAGGAGGAGAGGAGGAGGAGGAGGAGGAGGAGGAGGAGGAGGAGGAGGAGGAGGAGGAGGAGGAGGAGGAGAGGAGGAGGAGGAGGAGGAGGGGGAGGGGGCGCCGACGGTCCATATGCCTTCGGTGAGGCTCCCAGGCGAATGCGGCCGGACCCGGGGCAGAAGAACACCCTTCAAGAACATGGGGCCCTCCGCCGGCCAGAATACGCAGCACGCTCGAGGGTGCCCTCCCCCAGGATGCACAAGAGCATCCAACGGACACGAAGAACAGGAGGGCACCCTCCCCGAACCGACCTCGATCTCCTACGTCGGTCCGACCAGACGTGCACTGTCCGCCCCTGGGCTGGTCGCCCCTCTCGTCGCCTCCGAGCTCGGCCCCCTCTGCGTCGCCCCGGCGCGCATAGGCGTCCACGACCCCGCCGTAGGAGAAGCGGTCGGCCGCGAGGCGGGCCCGCCGTAGCTCCTCGAGCCAGTGCTCGGCCCTCTCGGCGGCGCTCTGCTTGGCGCAGGCGCGGATGACGGCGCTGTAGCACGCCGCGTCCACCTCGGCGCCGGCCTCCAGCAGGGCTCGAGGCTAAACAGGATGTCTCGCTTTCGTCGTGTTCTCGCTCTTGGTCGAGCCACGGGAGCGACAGCTCGAAGCGTCAGTTCGTTGTGTTTTCGTGTTCCTTCGTTCCGTCGTCGTTCTGCCTTCTACTGCGAAGCGAAATCAAACCGAACACAAGCCACGAAATCGCCGAAACACCATTTCGCTCGAGCCCTGGCCTCCAGCATCCGGCCCAGCCAGCCCTCAGCGCGCTCGGCCGCACTCTGCTGCGCGCACGCGTGGAGGACATTGCAGTAAGCGATGGTGTCCGCGCGCAGCCGCGACTCCAGCATCTGGGTCAGCCAATGCGCGGCGGCGGGGGCAGGGAGGGAGGCGAAGGGGGCGGCCTTCTAGAGGAGGCAAGCGGAAACCAAGAAGGGCCCAGAGGCTTCCGAGAAGGCTTTGCAGAAGGCAGGGGGGCTTCCAAGAAGCCCCCCCGCCTTGTTAGAAAGCCACCCCCCTCGTCCCACACGCCTTGGCTCGCCACCGCAATGCGCTGCCCTATCCACGTCCTTGGCCTTTGCACAGGCGTGTATGACGCTGTTGAACACTGCATCGTCCGCGTCCACCCTGGCCTCCAGCATTCCCTCCAGCCACCGCTCGGCGTCGCGCACCCGCCCCTCCTGCGCATAGCCGTTAATGACGCAGCCGTAGCCGAACTCGGTCGCAGCGATGCGAGACTCCTGCATAGTGCGGAAGCACCGCTCCGCACACGCCATCCCCCTGAGCCGAGCGTGGGCGTTGATAGCGATGCAGTAGCTGCCCTCTGTCGGCGAAACGCTGTACTCCCGCATCCTCGCCACCATCTCCTCCGCTGCCTGGCGCAGAGTGCGGAACCAGAAGCCTACGCCCGCCGCTCAGCGTCGCCTTTCTCATCCCATCTCTGGTTCCTCTGGGAAGTAGGCGAGGGGAATGGACGCGGCAAGAAACATGACTAGGAGAACGAGGATCAGAACGAGGAGGACGAGGAGAAGGGAGACGAAGACGAGGAAAGGACGAGCAGGGTACAGAGCAGGTGGAGGACCAAGAGGACGATGACGAGGCTTTGCTTGTCTCCTCCAGGCGCGGCCCAAACCAGCAACTCTGGCGCACTTTGGGTTGGCTACTTCGGCAGAACCTACTCCTACGACTCTACTGCTACAGATCTGACAAAGCGATTGGGGTGTGCTCAGATCTCTGGCGCCCATCCACAGCCCGTGCGGCCTAAGCCTGCCGGCTTGCGTGCCCTTGCGCCCTGGCGCAGCGCAGACTCTCAGGGAGGAGCAGGGACGCGAAGAAGGGAGGAGAGGCAAGTTGGGAGTGTGCCAAGGGGAGCGCCACACGGAGTCAGACACCAAAGCCTACGTATGCTCCCCCCAGTCGCTTGGCCTGGGCAGGAAAAACTAAAGCGTGCCGCTTAAATGCGCCGGCCCCTTCTAGAGGCACAAGGCTGGGTGTATGTTGTCATCTCTCTCTCTCTCTCTCTCTTATCCTGCCTCCCGCCTCCTGTCTCTCTCTGGTCCTTTGCTGTCCGTCAGGGGTTGGAGAAGATCCCAGTACAACGTGTTCAATTAATCGAGTTGTTCCCTAGACAGTGCTTGTCCTCAGGGGTCCTTACTTCTTTGGCGTGCTGGTCTGGCGGCTATGAAGTCGCCATCGCCGCCCCGTCACCGCCCCGTCGCCGCCCCGTCGCCGCCTCGCGTCGCGGCATGTCTTAACCCAGCGTTGCGCGGATGTCCACGGCGAAACGGGTTGTACCTCCTCAGGTTATGAGGCACGTCGAAGCCCAGAGTTGCGAGGATGTCCCAAGTGAAATGGACCAGACCACTCCGCGCGTTGCATATTGGACCCCGGAGTTGCGAAGAGATCCCAAGCTACATGGGCCAGGCCACCTCGCCCCTGGCAACTCGGGGCCCAAAGTTGACAGAATCTCTCATCCCAAGGTGAGGCAGCGCAATGGGGAGTGACGCAACAGAAATGCAATCCCATGCGTTGTAACGCAATGCCGCGCACTGAAATGCAATGGCACGCCATGCACGTGCAATGCGTGTATGCCACATGCACGTGCAGATGGGCATGAACCAAACACTTCCACTGTGGGGGATGCGAGGTAACACGAGGGAGGGGAGCACGAGGAGGATGAGGAGGAGGAGGAGGACGAGGAAGAGAGGAGGAGGAGGAGGAAAAGGAGGAGGAGGAGGAGGAGAGGAGGAGGAGAGGAGGAGGAGGAGGAGGAGGAGGAGGAGGAGGAGGAGGAGTTGTTTTCCACAGCTGCCCATTCAACTTGACATGAGCTACTGTTCAACACCAGTAGCAGGAGGCGGGGCTGGCAACAGGATCACGCACATCGGAAGCGCACTCAGCAGAACAGAAGCTCACTTAGCAGGAACAAGACTTATTGGATCCGTCGCCTGGCCAACTGCTTGCCTGTCCATGGCTTTCGGCCCGTACCGCCATCGTGCCTGGATTGTGGCTCAGAAGCTTCTTGGATACATGTCTGAGTCTATTGGCATGCTGCTCGGGCGTCTTTTGGAGCCTGTTTTGAAGCGTCTGCGGGCCTCTCTGGGGTTTTTCGGGAGCCTCTTCGGGGTTCATTTAAATCCCTTCGGGGCCTCTTGGGGGCCTGCTGGTGGTCTCGGGGGTCCACTGGGTGTGGAGGGCCCGAAATGGTATTTGAGATTCCCCTTATTGGGGCCTCTTGGGCCGTCTTGGGCGCCTCTATTGACGCTCTCTTTTGGGCCGCCGTGGGGCCCTCTTGGGCGCGTTTTGGGCTGTCCTGAAGCCGAATTAGCCGGCCCCGAAGAGGCCCCAAAACAACCCGCTGAGTGCCACAGAAGGGCCCCCAACAGGCACCCGAAAAAAAACACATCGAACTACATGCAACGTTGCATCCACCACACTGTACAGAAGCGTACCGTGTATGCAACGCAGCTACAATGCCACGCTACGGGGGGGGATTGTAGCACTGCGTACCCCATCGGCGCAACACTGAGAGATAGCGGTCGCTGGTGCGCCGCAGGCGTCCTCGATCTAGAGAACATGACAAAGGGAACTTGCCGCACAGGATTGAAACGGGCTGCGCGATCGGACAAACGCCTGGTCAGGGCTAGCAAGGCTGATGGTAGCAGAAGGCAGAAATTAGCCTGGCGAATGACCCAAACATATGCAGATGTGAATACCGCAATTGTGGATACAATTTTCGTCCGCGCTCACTATGTAGCCACGGTTTCCCGCCAGAGCCCGACATGTTCAGGGACACGTTCGTGGCCGTTTTCGCGGGCGGCGACGACGACGAGGGCGGCGTCCCTCTGACCGAGGAGCAGAAGCAGGAGAGGGCTCTGAGAACCATGAGGGAGGGTGCCAGTGGCGCCTTCGGTGGAGCTCCTATGGGGCCACGATCCTCGTGAGGGGTGTGCGA